TTTCGTAGACGGTTTGATAAGGATTTTTAGGGAAGTGAGATTTAATTTTATTTAGGGGAAAATTTAATGAAATTACGAATTTTTAGGCAGCAGGCGGACTGGGATTCTCCAACTTTCGATAAGTTCAAAGCAAAACATGAATACTCGGTACCAAAAGCAAATTTTTGAAGCAATTGAAAATAAAACAAATGTATAACTGATTTTGCCTGATTTTTATGACTTTTCAGGCGTAATTGAACTGAAATTTACAGTTTACACACGGAGAGAAATTCTGGAGAAAAATTCTAGTGCTGGTACTGGAGAAAATCTCAATCCGACGACTATGAAAAATTCTAATGCCATTTTCTGATAAAATTTCCGGGGGAATTGCATATCAAAACGAAATTTCCAGCGTCGGCACTGGAATGTTTCCCTAACCGTCACTTTGGGGTTTTTTTCCTGTGCTAGCACTAGAAATTGTCGAGAGAGTTTCTCTTTGTGCATTCATTCATTCATAAAATTTTGAACTCTCAACCCCGAAATTCCTTGAAATTCGTTTTCAGTAAAAAGATTCTAACAGTGTTGTCTCGATGACTAAAACTTTCATTTTTCACTGTTAGAAAATTAATGAAATTTCATGAACAGTTTAATAGTGATTTTCAGGAAAGTGGCATTGAATTCGATTCAGGGAAAAAATCATGAAATATTGGATTTCACAGAAAATTCAATAAAATTTCTAATTTTTAGGCAACAGGAGGACTTGGATTCTCCAACTTACTAGAATTCTCAATCAAAGCATGAATATTCCGTACCAAATTATGCTAAATTCTCAATTAATTGAAAATCCAAATAAATATATCCCTGATTTTTCCTGAGTTCTATGAATTTTCAGGAATAATCAAACTGAAATTCACAGTTCCCATTGATTTATCTATCAAATTTCAAACTCTCAATAACGAAATTCCTTGAAATTCCTTTTCAGCTAAAAATTTTTCAGAATGTTAGAAAATAAATGAAATTTCATCAATAGTTAAATAGTGATTTTCAGGAGTATCGATGGCGGTGGCTATTGTTAGAATGTGGGATTGGCATACGAGGAAGGGGGGGATCTGATTTAGAGTGTTATAAATTTCGTGACACTCTAAATCAGACAGTTTCATTGTCGAGCGGGAGTCCCACGAGAGACGACTATACCTGGGCAGGTTTTTCCCTCAAGTGAGGTTTCCCCTTGTTCTTCGGCGAATGCGATACACAGGCGGTTGGGGGGTGGGAAGGGAGCAAATCGTAAAAAACCGAAAGGGTATACGAAAAGAAAAATTCTTAGTGATTTTCCGGAAAGTGACAGTGAATTCGATTTACGGGGAAAAGTCATGAAATTTGGGAATTCACTAAAAATTCAATGAAATTCCTCATTTTCAGGTCCAGGAGGACTTGGGTTTTCTAAGTAACTAGAATTTCCAATCAAAACAAGAATATTCTGTACCAAATCTAGAAAAATGTTGAATTAATTAATAATCCAAAAAAATATGTCCCTGATTTTTCAGGGAAGTGACATTGAATGTAATTTAGGGGAAGATCTGAAATTTCTGACTCCACTGAAAATTTAATAAAATGTCAAATTTCTAGGCAGCAGGATGACTAGGATTCTCCAACTTGGTTGAATTTCCAAACAATGTTGAATTGAATTCCTAATTTTTCCTGATTCCTGTGAATTTTCGGGAGTAATTCCACTGAAATTCACAGTCTTCATTGATTTACTCATAACATTCTGAACTCTCAACGACGAAATTCCCTTTAATCCCAAAATTGCTAACAATGTTGCCTCGACGAATTGAATTTTTCATTTTCCAATAAAGATTCTCCACATAAATTAGTAGACTTCCAAGATTTATTCAGCCCGGACAAAAATGAGAATAAAAACAGAGAAATATCCCCCGAGCCTTCGACGTAAAAAAAAACTCGCATGAAAAGGGACGAGCATCAATGAATAAATAGACCACGTTTCCCCGAAATGTCAATAATAGCGCCCTAGCAGGAGCGAAGGGTGGGCTAAGACAGGTGTATACGCGGTGGCATTTCATGCACAGGGATATCCATAAATAGTTGGCGCCAACGGGATCGGGAAAAGGCTTCCCTGCGCGTCCCCCTCTGGAGACCCAACGCCGCACAAGGTCGTGCGACCCTCTACGTGTCTCCGGGTCCACAATTCCACGTACGACAGTGAAATCAGAAGGCTCAAAGCACACGTAGCATTCGATATAAAAAAACGAGTGACAGCCAGACGGGCGCCATCGCCGTAAAAAATAAGAAACGGACGGGGGGGAAAAAATGAGCAAAACCGTTGAGCATTTCCTCCGTCTCTATTTTTTCCTACCAAGGGTATGATGAAGAGGTGAGGTTATTAAAGGGGCCACTCAATTCCTTTTTTCTCGTCTTTCGGGAAAATGCACCACTTGAATATCTAGTCGTACCATCCAACCGCCGGGAGACTGCGAACTGGGGGGTGATGGGGGTGGGTAAACCTGAGGGAGAAAATTTTAAACATGGCGGGTGCCGAACAGTCAGGCGCACCACGCATCGATCAATAGCGCCTTGTTTAATATCAGTTCTCAAACTCCTCTGTACAGCCAACGTCAAGACTCTACATTCAATTTTATTGTCTACTTTGTCTTGAAAATGAGATGAAAGAATTGAGACGTTATGAAAGTGGATGGGGAGTTTCATCAAAATTTTTCTACCATTTTCTAGGTGATGCTGTTTTTGCAGAAATATTGCTTCCGCTCTTGAAAGTGGATTTTTTTGCTTCTGAATGGAAGCATTTTAATCGTTCTAATTCAAGTTTCGCATTTTTTGCGGATTGTTCAGCCCTATCCATCGACATTAATTAAAGTTTAATACATATATTATATTTTTGAATTTTTGAATTTGTTTTAAAATCAGGTGGCGCGCCGTAACTCAAAGAAAAATGTCCTGAATTCATTGGATGACTTAAAAAATTCTTTCGGTGTCGAAGGCAATAGCTGTAATCGTTGTTTTGATTGTTAGAATAATTGTCAAAAATTTTGTTTTTTATAAAAATTACAACTCCGAGGATACCTTTGGATATCATGCTCTAAATTCATGAAATGATAGCTGAAAATATTAGTTTTTAAGCCACTCTGTCGAAACTAAAAGATCGTTATGACACCTATATTCGTTGGTTTAATTTTTACGATGATTTTTGTAAATTTAGATTTTTTTGGAAATTGTTCTGAAAGTGTACTGTCTCATGGTTACTTCAAATATGATGTTTCAAATTAATTCCGTAGCAGATAGCATCGTTCTTCCGCTCGATTTATAAAAGAATTTCCGAAATTATTCTCACAGCATTTAAAAGTTATTGATTTCTACTTGCACTGATTATTCGAATAAAAAAAAGAAACAAAATTAATTCAATTATCATGTAACCGACCTACTTCGACTTCACTTTCATGGATTAAATCGATGGTAAGGGAGAGTGGGGTAAAACAGTCCCTTTTGACTTTTTTTGTGGTACTCATAACTCAGAAACAAATTAATTAATTGAGATCAGTCTAGGCTCACTCTAAAGGGGAAGAAGTGTAGTTCCCATGGAAAAAAATTATTTCATTTTATGTAAAATTGAATGAGCTGTTATCATTTTTGAAAAAATCAAAAGGGACCGTTTTACCCCACTCTCCGCTATAGATATATATTATTTCATATTTGAAATTGCAATCAAATGTTGAATTAAATTAAAAACCCAACAAAAATGGTTGCAGAAGAAATTTCATAGAATTTAATCAAATTATATAAAACGATGAATTGTATATTACTGAAGCAGACGATGTGCAAAATGATCATTCTGAAGCAAACTGCTAATTGATTATCAAAAAAACTAGAATATATTAATCTAAAAATAATTTCCCACTCGTTTTTAATTGAAAAAAATGCATATGCAGACCGAAAAAGTATAAGGATCATTGGAGTTGTGGGGATGGGGTTGTTTTTTGTACGCAGGTGGGGGATAAACACGAGAAATGTGCAAAAAGGGATGATCGTAAACATCGGCGGGCGTTCAAGTGCCTCTCAACTATACGAAACCACCCGGTACAGACCCCACGCCGCTTCCGGGTTACACCCTCTCACCCTCGGGTCCTTCTGGGGTTCGGTTGGAGGCGGGGGGGGGGGGGAAAGGG